CTTGGTTCAGACAGAGTAGCCCTGTCTGGTGCTGATGTATTGTGAAATTGTTTACTTCAGCAGAACATCAAGGCCTAGCTGATAGTACCAGGCCCACTACCAGATGCCAGGTTCTTTCTCAGAACTCACACCTGCTCCTGAATGTTACCAAGTCATTCCTTGCCTAGGGTGCTCTTTTCCATTCCCTAGGCATACCCTACTTTCTTCAAGTCAAACTGCACAAAATCCCATCTGCCCTGTGAGGCCTTCCCAAAGACAGTGAAACCACCTTTGCAAATATAACCGACTGTGAAAGAGATCTAACGTAACCAGCTCCATCTTGCTTCTAGCCTCTAAGCTGTCCTAACCTCCCATTCCTGGGAGTAGGCTGAACTAGCTTTGGGGGGAAATTTAGTTTATGATTTACAGTTTGAAACAAAGACAATGGCCAGGCACAGTGGCTCACACCTGTAATTCTAGCATTTTGGGAGGCCGAGGTGGGCGGATCACCCAAGATCAGGAGTTCGAGACCAGCCTGGCCAACATGGTGAAACCCCGTCACTACTAAAAATACAAAATTAGCTGGGCATAGTGGCACTTGCCTGTAATCCCAGCTACTTGGGGCACTGAGGTGGGAAAATTGCCTGAGTCCAGGAGGTAGAGGCTGCAGTGAGCTGAGATCACACCATTGCACTCCAGCCTGAGCAACAAGGGCAAAACTCTGTCTCAAAAACAAAAAACAAACAAAACCCGCCCCCCCCCCCAACAAAAACTCTGCTTCCCAAATGCTTGGGGAGACTGATTTGAGTAATAATAAAACTCCGGTGTCCCGCACAGCTGGCTCTGCATGAATTACTCTTTCTCTATTGCAATTTCCCTGTCTTGATGAATCAGCTCTGTCTAGGCAGTGGGCAAAGCGAACCCCTGTGGGTGGGAGACCCCGTGGGAGACCCCGTAAGTGGCGAGGCAAGGTTCTAAAGCCTCAGCCTATTCCCATATAAATATAGAGCTAGAAAAGAATTAGAGATGTCACTACATAGTTATTCCTCTCTATATATAACCATGTATAATCACATAGTTATTCACATATAAATGCTCAATATAACCTTTTGAGTTTACTAATGATTATCGGGTTATGAAGCATGGAACTGAGGTGACAATGTGAACGAAGTGAAGGCAAGATGCTCTAAGCCCTCTGTCATGCCCACATAAGGGCTGCTGGAGGGCACCTTGGCTGTGTGGCAGCACCAGCGCTGGGAAAGCGCCCGCTGTTTAGCCAGCTAGGGAAGGAGACCTCCAAAATCTCCGAGAAGTTAGGTGAAAACTCCGCTCCTCCAAGCTCTTGCAGTAGGCCTGACGACTGTCAGGTAGGCCCACAGACATCCGGGGGCTTAACTGTCTCTATGTGATGCTGTGCTTCAGTGGTCACGTTCTCTGTCCACTCTCACGCTCCGCTTCTACACCTGGTTAATCTTTTTCCCAAAAGATAAGAATCGATAGTAGTAACATAAATCTTAAATGTCTTTGTTCTTTCTTGACAAGTGTGAGAAAAGTGCTGACGCATTAGGTTTTCTCCCTGCCTCGGCCATTTGAAAGACCTGGGCCCCTATTTCCAAGACATGTGATTTACCTGACCCTATCACTGAGCACCATTATTTCACCCTACCTGCCCCGCTCCCTGCTTTGTACTCAATACATGTCAGAGTGTCCGAGTTTTATACAAGACTCGGAGTTTTGGTTGGCAGTGGATCCCTGGGCCCAAACTCTCTTTTCTCTTTCTTGGTATCTTGTGTCTTTTATTTCCACAGTTTCTCCTCTTCACACCTGCATAGAGGGGCTCACAGGACCCTGTAGGACTGGACCCTACAAACCACTTGGGCTGTTATAACAGTACTACTTTCTCCATAGAATTAGCTTTCCTGAGTGTATCTAAAAACCTTAATTGGTGGCCAGGCATGGTAGTCCATGCCTGTAATTAAAGCAATTTGGGAGGCTGAGGCAAGAGGATGGCTAGAGCCCAGGAGTTTGAGGCCAGCCTGGGCAACATAGTGAGACCCTGTCTCTATAAAATCAAAAACCAAAAACCTTGGTGGGCATAGCACAGTGAGTCTTCAAATGTGTCCCTATATTGAAGTGTTTTGCTTGTTTCATGTGTATTTTTCTTCTGTTTCTAGTAGGTTGTCTTTTAGAGGCAAAGTCCATTTCTTACACTTCAATATCCCCTACAGCTGAGCACCCTGCTGAAGGGCAGTTTGGTTGAGTTGGCATGTTGGTTGGTCTGAGTAAGGGGAGAGGGGCAATCAGTTTGCTTCTGCAACACACTTCTGAAAACACAGCTCTAAGCTAGCAGGGGAGAAGCTCCCAGCTTTTCCCTTTCCCAGGCAAAGCCATTTCTTTTCTTTCTTTTTTTTTTTTAATTTTTTTTTATTTTTTGAGTTTCACTCTGTTGCCCAGGCTGAAGTTCAGTGATGTGATCTCAGCTCACTGCAACCTCCACCTCCCAGGTTCAAGTGATTCTCAAGCCTCAGCGTCTCCAGTAGCTGGGACTACAGGCACATGCCCATGCCTAATTTTTGTATTTTTAGTAGAGATGGGTTTCACCATGTTGGCCAGGTGGGTCAACCTTCTGGCCTCAGGTGATCTGCCTACCTCGGCCTCCCAAAGTGCTGGAATTACAAGCGTGAGCCACTGCAACCAGCCTTCCAATCTCCCTTTTGGAGCATTCATTCTGTTGCAAGACCTTATTTAATTTTTATTTATTTATTTAGAAACAGGGTTAACCTCTGTCACCCAGGCTGGAGTGTAAATCGTAGCTCACTACAGTCCCAAACTCCTGGCCTTAAGCAATCCTCCCGGCTTGGCCTCCCAAGTAGCTGGGACTACAGGCATGTGCCAACACGCCTAGCTAAGTTGAGTATTTTTTATTTCTTTTATTTTTTAGAGAGGGGTCTCAGTATTGCTGAGACTGGTCTCCAAGTCCTGGGCTGAAGCAATCCTACCCCCTAGCCCTCTCAAAGTGCTGAGATTATCAGCGTGAGCCACCACACTGGACCAAGGGTTTATTTTGGAAATATCTTCTGTCCCTATCTGTCTGAAAAATCCTTGAGAGCAGGCTCTGCCATTAATGCATTTTAAAAAGATTATTTTTTGTTTGTTTATTTTGAGACGTAGTCGCACTCTGTCACCCAGGCTGGAGTGCAGTGGCGCTATTTCAGCTCACTGCAATCTCCGCCTCCCAGGTTCAAGTGATTCTTCTGCCTCAGCCTCCTGAACAGCTGGGATTACAGGCACATGCCATCATGCCTCAGCTAATTTTTAGTGGAGATAGAGTTTCACCATGTTGGTCAGGCTAGTATTAAACTCCCAACCTCAAGTTATTTGCCTGCTTCAGCTTCCCAAAGTGCTGGGATTACAGGCATGAGCCACCGTGCCCAGTAGTATTTTTAGTAGAGATGAGGTTTCACCATGTTGGCCAGGCTGGTCTTGAATGCCTGGCCTCAGGTGATTCACCTGCCTTGGGCTCCCAAAGTGCTGGGCTTACAGGCATGAGCCACCGTGCCCAGTGGTATTTTTAGTAGAGATGGGGTTTCACCATGTTGGCCAGGCTGGTCTTGAACAACTGGCCTCAAGTGATTCACCTGCCTCCGGCTCCCAAAGTGCTAGGATTACAGGCATGAGCCAACATGATGGCCTACCATTAATGAGTTTTTGTATATCTCCTTCCACCCCCACAAACTGTCAGGCATGGGGCTTAGTGGGTGGAGGAAAGGCCCAGCAGTATCTGAGTAAGCCCAATCCCTCCCTGCCTCTTCGCGGAAACTAGGGTGCATCCAAACTGCCTCTTCTCAGGCTAGGCAGGACAGCGTGGACTCATCTCTGAACCTTCATGCCTTGGCCTTTGGCTGAAGCCAGGCATAAAAGTTCTAAGTCCCACTGGCTCATCACTGTCTCAGGCTGCTCCTAGGTGGACATTCAACAGGTTAGGCAAATCTTAATTAAGATCAGTAAGGAGGCTGGGCATGGTGGCTCACAACTGTAATCTCAGCACTTTGGCAGACTGAGGTGGATGGATACTAGGGGTTCTAGACCAGACTAGGCAACATAGGGAGACCCTGTCTCTAGAAAAAATGCAAAAATTAACTGGGTGTGGTGGTGCGTGCCTATAGTCCTAGCTACTTAGGAGGCTGAGATGGGAAGGATCAATGCCCAGGAGGTCATGGCTGCAGTGAGCCCAGATCCTGCCGCTGCACTCCAGCTTGGGTGACAGAGAAACTCTTGAAACAAAACAAAACAAGTCAACCACCAAACAAACAAAAAAGCACTGAGGGCCAGACAAGGTGACTCATGCCTGTAATCCCAGCACTTTGGGAGGCTGAGGCCAGAGGATCACTTGAGCCCAGGAGGTCCAGACCAACGTGAGAAACATAGCAAGACTCTGTTTCTACAAAAATAAAAATAAAAAAATTAGGCTTGGAAACACAGGTCTGCAGTTACGTGGGAGGCTGAGGTGGGAGCATCAGTGAAGCTTGAGGTCAAGGCTGCAGTGAGCTGTGATCGCATCACTGTACTCCAGCCTGGGTAACAGAGAGAGACCCTGTCTCCAGAAAGGAAAAAAAAAAAAGGCAAAAGTAAAGGATTTTCAATCAATCTTCCTCATTCTCCCTTCACAGAGAAGCAGCTTGGATTGGATGGGACTGTAGGATCTAGAATATGACTGCAGGGCCGGGCGCGGTGGCGCACGCCTGTAGTCCCGTCTACTTAGGAGGCTGAGGTGGGAGGATCGGTTGAGCCTAGGAGGCGGAGTCTGCACTGAGCTATGATCGAGCCACTACACTCCAGGCTGGGCGACAGAGCCAGATCCCATCGCTAAAATAAAATAAATAAATAAATAAATAAATAAATAAATAAATAAAGCCGGGGGCCATCTTTGCTCCGGGCAGGTCAGCTGACCCGGGCTGGCACAGATCCTGGCGCAGTTCCTGCCCCTCCCGGGAGGGCTGGCCCCGCCCCTCTTCCTCGCCCTCTCCCCGCGCCCCCGCCTCCCAGGAAGGGGCGGGTCCCCGAGACGGGTGGGGCCGGAGCTCCAAGCTGGTTTGAACAAGCCTTGGGCATGTTTGGCGGGAAGTCGGCTTAGCTCGGCTACCTATGGCCCCAGAGTTTTGTAGTCCCCGCCTTGTTTCTCCCCAGAGGCCTCTCAATCCTCCCTCCATGATCTTCGCATAGAGCACAGTACCCTCTCGCACGGAGGACGAGATGGCTCCCAAGAAACGCCCAGAAACCCAGAAGACCTCCAAGATTGTATTACGCCCCAGGAGCAAGAGGAGCAGGAGTCCCCGGGAGCTGGAGCCCGAGGCCAAGAAGCTCTGTGCGAAGGGCTCCGGTACTGCCTGTGCCTGCTGCTTGAATATTTCCGCCTTTTGGGGTGCTCGCGCAGGAGGCTGCAGCGGGGGATGGGTGCTCCGAGGCTCCCTAGGCCGGCCCAGGTCACGGATGCCTCGGGCTGTGCATTCTACCTGCAGGTCCTTTGACACAAGAAAGTTTAGGCTTCAACACCTGTCCCGCTAGGTGACAGGAAGCAGATGAGCTCCGTAACAACAGATACACGGACTTGTCAGGTTCCTTGTTTATAGCAGGGTTCTTACACGGTTAGGACGGCTTCGGAGAATCCTACCTTTCCTGGCTGTGTGTGTGCTGGATTTCATAGTCACGCTTGTTAGCTGCGCGTCCTAGGTGGTCAGCTGTGAGAGCCCCCAGTCTCTTCCCTCCTTAGAAAGCTCATTCTCTGAGGTTTACTGGGGCTTGAACCTGGGGCTATAAGGAGTTTCGAGACACTCAAAAGACGGGAGTCGGGGCTTTTTAAGTGGTTTTTGTCTATGAGAAGAAAAGAATTGGTTGTTAAGTGGTCAGACCTATAGAGATTGGGTCCTCAAATACAGTTCGGTGATCTGGCGCTGTTGCTTTAATTCCTATTCTAATTTCATTTACCTCCCCAGAAGTAACCTATTTAGCATTTCCAGGCTTTTCTATTCCTTCTTTTCCTAAACAGTGACTTCTGCCATGCTGCCCTGAAATCTTTTTAATCATGCATTATATGTGATTTATAAAATTGTGACTTAGTCCCATCTCGAGTTTTGCAGCCCAAACTGGGAAGAGTTCTTCAGTGTGCTTTATTCTTGTGTGTTTCTGTGACTGGGGTCTCAGAATCTATTTAGTTTCACTTCAGACTTACTGTTTGAGGGAGTGTTTTGAGGGAGAGACCAAATCCTCACTAATTTTTTAATTTCTGGTGCTGGGTGAGACCACATAGACACGGAAAAGCCTTAGGAGGTGATAAGATGGAGATTAGCCATGCTGAATGAAACAAGGCTTCCTTTTGGGGATTTCAGCAGAAAACCCTTTCGTGAGATTGGAGAGGAAAATATGTCTGTTCTGCTTGGCAGGTCCTAGCAGAAGATGTGACTCAGACTGCCTCTGGGCGGGGCTGGCTGGCCCACAGATCCTGCCACCATGCCGCAGCATCGTCAGGACCCTCCACCAGCATAAGCTGGGCAGAGCTTCCTGGCCATCTGTCCAGCAGGTAAGGCATTTTCTTCCTCAAGCCTTCAAGGATTTGTATGTGCATTTTTACTATTGCATGCTCCCAAGTTAGATGATGACTTGGTTCACCAGCTTGTCAGAGTGGTCCGATCACCCAGACTGGTGACTGGCCTACTGGGCACTCAGCCAGGTAAGAAAGTCTTACGTCGTAAAGGTCCAGCTGGAATGTACTCTGCCCCTTTTGCTTTCCAAGATGATTAGTTTGTGTACATTGCAAATATTTTCATGTACAGGGCAGGCAGTTAGCTTTCCTTTGGTGAGAGGACTTGGCTGTGGGGCTCATCTATGAAGGAGGCAGAGATTGGCATTTACCCAGGACTTGAGTTTTAATTCAACCTAATTCATTTCTTTCTGTGACAGGGGCTCCAGCAGTCCTTTTTGCACACTCTGGATTCTTACCGGATATTACAAAAAGCCGCCCCCTTTGACAGGAGGGCTACATCCTTGGCATGGCACCCGACTCACCCCAGCACCGTGGCTGTGGGTTCCAAAGGGGGAGATATCTTGCTCTGGAATTTTGGCATCAAGGACAAACCCACCTTCATCAAAGGGGTGAGCAATTCCCTGTGCCAGGTAGTGCTAAAGACGTGTTTGTTGGCCGGGTGCAGTGGCTCACGCCTGTTATCCCAGCACTTTGGGAGGCTGAGGCAGGCGGATCACCTGAGCTCTGGAGTTTGAGACCAGCCTGGCCAACATGGTGAAACCCCATCTCTATTAAAAATATGAAAATTAGCTGGGCGTAGTGGCAGGCGCCTGTAATCCCAGCTACTCCAGAGGCTGAGGCAGGAGAATTGCTTGAACCCAGGAGGCAGAGGTTGCAGTGAGCCGAGATCTTGCCATTGCAGTCTAGCCTGGGCAACAAGAGCAAAACTTCATCTGAAAAAAAATAATTATAATAAAATAAAGATAAGGAGTGTTTGTTGAAGGAATGAAAGGGATACTGATGTCATCTAGTAATTGTCAGGAAGAGAACTGGGATCAAAAGTAACTGTGGGCATTTTCAAATACGTAAATGGTGATGATACTCATATATTTTTCTAATGTCTACCCTTACAATATTAAAAGGTATAGACTATTGATCATCCATAGAATTGAAGCCCCTTCTGGGCTGGGCGTGTTGGCTCACTCCTATAATCCTAGCACTTTGGGAGGCTGAGGTGGGTGGATCATGAGGTTAGGAGATGGAGACCATCCTGGCCAAAGTAGTGAAACCTGGTCTCTATTAAAAACACAAAAAATTAGCTGGGTGTGGTGGCGCACACCTGTAGTCCCAGCTACTCAGGAGGCTGAGGCAGGAGAATCTCTTGAACCCAGGAGATGGAGGTTGCAGTGAGCTGAGATCGTGCCACTGCACTCCAGACTGGGCGACAGAGTGAGACTCCGTCTCAAAAAAAAAAAAAAAAGAGAAAGAGAATAAGAACTGAAGCCCTTTCTTACCATATTGACCTCATCTTATACCACTGTCTTACCTCACTTCCTACACTGTAGCCACACCAGCTGTTTCTATTCCTGAAACCGGGTCTGTGCAATTGCTGTTCCCTTTGACTGGAGTGCTTTTCCCCATGGTCTTCTCATGGCTGGCGTCTTGTCATGCAGGTCTCTGCTGATTCTACCTCTTCAAAGAGGCTTTCTCTGGATGTCCTTACTCATAACGTAGATCCCACTCCTCCACCCCTGTCATTCCCTGTATCATTAATCTGCTTCATGTTTTCCCCAAAGTGTTGATCAATGTCTGAGATCTGATGCTTATTCGTATGTGTTTGCCCACTGATGGCAGGGACTTTGCCTTTCTGGTTCACCACTCTATTCCCAGTGCCTGGAACAAAGTTTGGGCCAGAGTAGCTGCTTTATATTTGCTGAATGAATGAGGGACTTGAGGTGTAATTGAGCAGATGGGATGTATACATAGGAGGTAACTAACAATACAGATGCCAAGTGCTACAGAATGTGAAGGAAGCAAGAAGAATTGGAGTCAATAGAGAAGACTTCATGGACGAGTGAGGAGGAGCAGCATTAGATAAATGGAGAGAAAAGAAGGAAAGATGTAGTGTGATTGGGTCAGGTTTGGCAGAGAGTTCTTAGGGATGGTCTTTGTTGTGCTAGAATTTATCATCCATTACTGAGGGGTGAGTGTGTCGTTCCCTCTAGGATGTCCCCAGCTAGTCCAGCTGTTGGCTGACATTGGAGGGCTGTGCTGTGAAAAGTGACACTGGGTTTAGAGTAGGAGTCACAAACTTATATGGCTCCAGAAGCCAAACAGAGTGGAAAAAAAAAAAAAAAGAAGAAGAGGTAGTCTATTGGCTCACACCTATAATCCCAGCACTTTGGGAGGCCGAGGCAGGTGGATCATGAAATCAGGAGTTCGAGACCAGTCTGGGCAACATAGTGAAACCCCATCTCTACTAAAAATACAAAAAATTAGCTGGGTTTCGTGGTGTGCACCTGTAATCTCACCTTCTCAGGAGGCTGAGGCAGGAGAATCACTTGAACCTGGGAGGTGGAGGTTGCAGTGAGCTGAGATTGCGCCACTGCATTCCAGCCTGGGCGACAGTGCGAGACTCCGTCTCAATAAAAAAGAAGAATGTATGGTGGTGGGGTCAGGGGTAAACTAGAGATGACAGTTGTGGAAAAATGTAGGCCCTGTGATATCAGATGTGATTTTTTTCAAACAAAGCCACAAATCCTCATTTTAAAAATATCAAATATCTTGAGTTTAAAAAAAAATTGTAAAATACACATAGCATAAAATTTATCACCTTAACTATTTAAAACTTTTTAAAAATAGTGATAAAACACGTATAACTTTTGTAACCATTTTTAAGTGTACAGTTCATGGCATTAGGTAAATTGTATAACCAGTCTCGAGAACTTCATTATTTTATATTTTTATTTTCGAGATGGGGGTCTCATTGTGTCACCCAGGCTGGAGTGCAGTGGCACAGCCCTAGCTCACTGCAGCCTCCACCTCCCTGGCTCAAGCAGTCCTCCACCTTCAGCCTTCCACGCAGCTTGGACTATAGGTACATGCTACCATGCCTGGCTAAATTTTAGAGATGTGATCTCTCTATGTTGCCCAGGCTGGTCTCAGACTCCTGGCCTCAAGCAATCCTTCTGTCTTGTCTTCCCAAATTGCTTGGGATTACAGGCCTGAGCCACTGTGCCGGGTCTCTGGAACTTCTTAATGTTGGGACTGAATAAAATTAAACACACATGTCAGCAGAATTCTGCTTCAGTCCACTATTTTTCCAGCTCTGGTTTAAAGGTAGAGATGAGGGGGAACCCCAGATGAGGTCCCTTAAGTAGAGGGATTTAGAGAGCAGCCTACCAGAAAAGGACAGGTTAGACAAGTGTGGGAGACTGGAATTCAAGGTGTGAGATGGGTGTTCAAGGAATAAGTGTCAGAAGCTCCCAGAAAGGCAGCCAGAGAAGTGCCATGGACAGAGTGGGGGGATTTCCTGCTCAGCTAAAGAGGCAGGTGACCACCAATAAGGCAGCTTGACGTCGAAGTCAGAACCCAGAGCTGAGACAGGAAGAAATTTGTTTTCTTGTTTTCTCCAGGAGTCTAGGACATGGGAATAGAGGAATTTAGCTTAAGCCTGGAGATGGTAAGAAGCAGTGTAGGGTATTCTAGGGGAAGAGCTTCCTAACTAACAGGTTAATGGCAAGTGCTTTGAACTTGTGCCAGACTGAGACTGGTTTCGTTTGCATCACCTTATGACATGCATGTCACTTTCTTTACACTGTAATGGAGATTGGTCTAGGCATTGAACTTTGTAACTTGCCATTGCAGAGAGCTAGGCTGGAGCAGAGGAAGGGTATGGCAGTCTGGAGAACTGTCTGGTTTTACTCCCCGCTGCTGATAGCAGAACGCTGATTTGACACCAGTTACTGGGGGAGCAACAGTGCCTCATTTTGTCACTTCTTTAGTAATGTGACCTTTACATTCTTCAGGGCCTTGGCAAGGGAACATGTATTACAGTTTCACAATGAACATAGCTTAATTTTATTCCTATTGTAAAAACAATGTATGGAACCAGGCGTGTGGGTCATGCTTGTAATTCCAGCACTTTGGGAGGCCAGGATCACCTGAGGTCACGAGTTCAAGACCAGTGTGACAAACATACAGTGAAACCCTCTCTCTACTAAAAATGCAAAAATTAGCTGGGAGTTAGTGCTGCATGCTTATAGTCCCAGTTACTCAGGAAGCTGAGGTAGGAGAATTGCTTGAACCCGGGAGGCAGAGGTTGCAGTGAGCCAAGATGGTGCCACTGCATTCCAGCCTGGCTGACAGAGTGAGACTCTGTCTCTCAAAAAAACAAAACAAAACAATGTATTCTTATGATCAAAAAATACAGAGAAAATATAAAGAATAAATATGATCTCAAATTCCCATTTTTGACATCCCTCTGTGCATGTGTACACTATTTTTTTTTCCAAGACTGAGTCTTGCTCTGTCACCCAGGCTGGAGTGCCATGGTGTGATCTCACCTCACTGCAACCTCTGCCTCCTGGATTCAAGCAATTCTCCTGCCTCAACCTCCTGAGTAGCTGGGATTACAGGCATGTACCACCACGCCCAACTAATTTTTGTTTTTTTTTGTTTTCTGTGTTTTTTTTTTTTTTGAGATGGAGTCTCACTTATTGCCCAGGCTGTAGTGCAGTGGTATGATCTCGGCTCACTGCAACCTCTGCCTCCCGAGCTCAAGTGATTCTCTTCTCTTAGTCTCCCGAGTAGCTGGAATTTCAGGCGCCCACCACCACGCCCGCCTAATTTTATATTTTTAGTAGAGATGGGGTTTCACCATGTTGGCCAGGGTGGTCTTGAACTCCTGGCCTCAGGTGATCCACCTCGGCCTCCCAAAGTGCTGGGATTATAGGTGTGAGCCACCATGCCTGACCTAATTTTTCTCTTTTTAGTAGAAACAGGGTTTTACCATATTGGGCAAGCTGGTCTTGAACTCCTGACCTCATGCGATCTGCCTGCCTCGGCCTCCCAAAACGCTGAGATTACAGGCGTGAGCAACCTTGCCCGGCCTGCATGTGTACACTATTGCACAGACCCATTCTTGTACTTCCATTATTACATAAATATCCTAGAATCTGTTGTGGATTGCTTATTACGTCAAATATTCTACTTTAATCACATCGTACCAGAGGATAACTATTTACAAATGTCTTGTAATTTTCTTTTTTTTTTTTTTTTTTTGGAGACAGGGTCTCACTCTGTCACCAAGGCTAGAGCACAGTGGTGCAGTTACTGCTCACTGCAGCCTCCCTTCCCAAACTCAAGTAATCCTCTCAGCTTCTCAAGGAGCCGTGACCACAGGTGTGCACCACCACACCCAGCTACTTTTTTGTTTTGTTTTGTTTTGAGATCGAGTTTCACTCTTGCGGTCCAGGCTGGAGTGCAATGGCATGATCTCTGCTCACTGCCACCTCTGCCTCCCAGGTTCAAGTGATTCTCCTGCTTCAGCCCCTCGAATATCTGGGATTACAGGCACCTGCCACCATGCCCAGCTAATTTTGGGGTTTCACCATGTTGGCCAGGCTGC